ACACTTTAATTATTTCAAAAACTTAATTAAATAACAGTGTCAAGAAAACGTCGAAACGCTTTCAGCGTATCTTTTCCGCAAAGAAATGAAAATGAGAGTAGTTGCCCCTACATCGCTACCGAAAGTTTAGATCAGGGGTCTCCAAACTTTTCAGTCCGAGGGCCGCATTAACTATCAAATTTCAGTTCGGGGGCCAGTTTCTTCCAGGCATATATTTGATTTTTCTGGGCAAAGTTCCTCAGCCATCAGCAAGAAACATTTTTCCGTGGACAAAAAGATCTCCGCGGGCCGGATGAGAGGACCTCGCGGGCCGCATCAGGCCCGCGGGCGTAGTTTGGAGACCCCTGGTTTAGATAGAGACGCCGCTTTTTTTAAGTAACAAAAATAAATTTTATCAATTTGATGCAATGTTACATGAATTACTTTTGGCTTTAAAAGGTCATTGCGGTGGACTTTTTAAAGAGCACACAAATGAAGGAATAATGGTAATTTTCTGAATTTAACCGATGCATGTAATAATTACTCCAAAGAAAAAGAAACTAGAAAAGTGACTGAAATGATTTTGTCAGGCTGTGACAGTAACAATGTAATACTAGATCTAGATCTCTGGTCATAGTGACTTGAAGTGAATAGATCTAGATCTAGGCGTGACAGTATATTAATTAATAATTAAACTTAAACTCTAGCAAGGGTGAGACTTAATCTCTGACTCAATACTCATAGTAGTTTGGATCAGTAGTAGAAAGATCTAGTAGTCAGTGTTTCTTTGATGCTGTGTAAAATCTATCAAATAAATTATTATTAGGCCTACTGATTTAAATGTTTAAAACAATTGAATTAATTTTTTTTAAATCTGTTTGAGGACTGTATAGATAGATATAGATGTTTGAAAGGGAAGAGTGTTTGCTTTGACGTGTCTCATTGTTGAAATTTTCGGGGGGGGGGGGGGGGGGGGCGGTAGACTTTCTTCGGGGGGGGGGGGGGGGGGGGGGGCGGACACTGTTAAAAGTATATATTTTCTATATAAATTACATAAATTTCATTTTGTTCGGGGGGCGGTACAAAATTTTCGGGGGGGCTAAGCCCCCCACGAAGAGATGCCTGGAAGAAACTCTGGTAGTAGTGAGGTATGAAAATCAAGTCTGAAGTAAGTAGACTTACTTCATTACTTGAGTTTGGTTTTAATATTACACTACTATTATTGCACTTTTATGGTCACACTATGTCCATTCACTCTTCAGTACTTTACTATTAGATCTAGTTGCTAAGACGGTTAAGTAGAAAGTACACTCACTAGCCTACAGGTGTACCACTAACTTAAACTAGTACTATTATTACTATTATAATGTTTTGAAAAATTACTCTTCCAATTTTATTTTTGTTTCTTCAGTTGGTCCCAAACTTACCCTTCATGCACACTTCTGAGATGACAGTTATGAACCAACTGTGTAAACTTGGGACCTATTACAAAGACTTTAGAGAATTTATTAATCACTTTGGTTCTGGGCTTCTTGCTAATCAGCCACAAGGTAATCATTTTTAAATTTGAAAATATTTATATTTTTAAATAACTAGTATCGGCATTGCCAGGTCAGTTAAGCAAGTGGTTGCTAAGCCTAAAATTATCAAGTTCAAACCACCAGGCAGATGATGCTCCTTAGCTGTGGCGGCTCCCATCTTGGAGAGAAAACGGCAAAATAAAAATTACAGCCTTGTAGTTTGTTCTTGAGTGGGCAAAGGCCTAAAATTGGAGTCTACAGCCTTTGTGGCGCATAACATGTTGATATGTTATACTTAAATGTGTTGGAGGTAAACCCGTCCAACATTACAGATAAGAAGAAAAGAGAAAAATATCTGCTATTAAAATGATATGTAAATGTATATATTTTTGTTTAGCAGAAATGTTTAATGAAAAACTTATATATTTTCAGATACAGAAGATCTGTATGGTCTGTACATCAAATGTCTTTGCCAAGGGTTGGATAATGTTTTACAGGACTATAGAGATGCTCTTCTGGACATAGAGAAACAAGTGCTGCATGATGCCCATATGCCAGTGTCACAGATTGCCTGTCAACTTCAAGATGTAAAGATTTTTCTCCTTTAACCTATTTTTAAACTAACACTGGTCAGTCTTTTTATCAGTGGCATAAGTTGGGGGATGCCAAAAAGTTTTTTTAGAATCCCTCTACCAGAACAAGGCCATGTCTTTGCCACTGCTTTACATAATTTTAGTTTCAAAATTCAAATTTTTTTTCTAAATCATCTTGTTTTTTGTGTGTTGGGATGAGAATACAGTAGTTATTTAGAGCTCCCTGTTTGTTAAATTATCCAATAAACTACCATCAGCCTAACCAAATGTCCATTTTATTTCCCAGTTTCACCTGCTGTTTCCTATTCTTGCATCTACAATTGATCAAGTTGTTTCTCACAAGGTTTGTTCAGAAATTCATTTCATTTATTTTAATTTGTGCAGTGTTGCCAGCTTGCCTTTCACCTGCTTTGCTTGCAGGAATAAGTCCTAAAGTTTTTATAATTATCTCTGTTGTACCAATGGTATGTGTCTTTCTATATTAGAGTTTAGAGTTTGCTCCATTAGTAGTACTAATCAGACTAATATAACTCAGGATCTTTGATATTAAGGTTAATTTAAATTTTATTTTGAACAAAGTTTGCTAATGGAAAAATTAATAATTAGCCTTAATCAGTAAAAATACATACGACTAATATACATCTTGTTAAAATATACAGGCACATGGCTGCTATATACTTGATATTTTGTACAAGAACTCCATGTTTGGAATGCCTGTTGTGAGGAATGCTTTAAATAGGTATGTTTCTTTGTTTATTTTTCTCTTTAGTCTGAAAAGAACCTCTTTATATTTTAGGTAAATTCCATTTAAAATCTATACATTTAAATTTTTTTTTTTACAAATGTATGTTAACATTAAAATTTCCTGACTGTATATTAGAATTCTTTTTGTGTGCCACGGACTTCTGTTCAAACAACTTTCTTCCTGGATGCTGCATGGAATGACCTCTGATCCCTATAATGAGTTCTTTGTCCAGTTGAAAAATAAAATAAAAGAGGCGCCAGCTTCCCAAACCACGGAGGATGATGAAGAAGAGCTCGGCATCATGGGATTGACTGGGCGTCAGCTACAGGTAAAAACATTAGTGAGGGGTTTATTTTTTAGTTTAGAATGTGTATTTATAGTTCGTTGTCCCAACAAAAAATGTGTATACAGCATTTTAACATTGAGTTAAATGAAAAAATTATAGTGTTGTTTTATTGAATATTTTCTGGTATGTTGTTCAGAAAATTAATTTAAACTCTGAGAAAGAAGAGCCATCCATTGATACAGGGCAGTACAGCATTGCAGCTGATCTGCTGCCATCCTACATACCCATAAGAGTTGCTAACAAAATTTTGTTTGTTGGTGAAAGTGTTCAGATGTTTGAGAGAGATAAGCACAAGATGAAATCATCTGTTCAAGGTTAGTGCAGTTAGCTGTATTCGCAAAAAATCAACCCACTAGCATTAAACCTAAACAAATGTTTGGTTTTTTTTTTTTGTTTTTTTTTTTTTTAAATAATTTTTAACATTTTAAAGGAGTAAAAGCCAAAATGGCTAATGAATCAGGCTAATTCTATACAAGAACAGAATGTATCAAAGAAATAAAACAATGAAACTTAGTTTCTATTTTTAACAGGAACAATAATGAGCACACGAGAAGAAGAATTTGCCTTAGATTTGCATGAGCTCTCTAAACTCCCAGAATTCAACAGTGTCAGTTTTGAGACAATCATTGACAAGATCAGAGCTCATGCAGCAGAGGTAACTTTCACAAACTTTCACAGCTCAATGTCATATTATTTCATTTTAGAGTACATTTCTAATTCAGTTTCCCAGCTACACTACAATATTACTGTTATAAAGTTAATATAATAAACTAGTTTCCCTGAGAGACCTTTTTACCTTTCAGTATTTGTGGGTGCTGGTGGTGGAGGAGTCTGGCCTGAGAGGTCAGCTAAAGATCATGAAGGATTTCTTCCTCCTGGGGCGAGGTGAACTTTACCTGGCTTTTATTGACCAGGCACAGCATCTTCTGCGATCACCAGCGGTTACAACCACAGAACATGGTAGGTATAGTTTTTTGACTTGTGTAGGCAACACCAGCTGTTGCAACCACAGAACATGGTAGGCAAAGTTTCTTGACTTGCATAAACTTTCAAATTTGAAAGAATAAAATAAGTTTATATATTATAAGTGTAATCAACCATATTTTTCTTTCAATAATTGTCATTTGTTTGTTTATTGCAAGCTTTTTGCTAGATTTCTCTTGACCATTTGTTTATTCATTTAAAATCAACACTATAGTTATGGGTTGTTGTTTTTTTAAATTTTAATTACGTTGTCAAGTCATCTAATTTTTTTGTCAGTCATAAAAAAAAAATTACTTTCAGATGTGAATCGAGCTTTCCAGCATGCAGCAAGAAATGTTTTGATAGACAATGATGATCTGCTGCACAGAATACATCTGATTGTTCCTTTGTCATCTAATAACAACAGTAGGTATTGTGGATATTGCGTTACACCAATATGGACATTTTTTTAATTTGATTAGAAAATATAAAAAACAATTGATTTATCATGGTATTAACTAATTTAGGATTACATCATGGTTTTTTAATTAAGTTGAATTATTCTTTTCTTTAACTAGAAAAAAACAAAAGCAACGCCACAGAGAGTGACATTGAGACAGGCTGGAATGCTTTGGGCCTGACTTACTCGGTGCAGTGGCCTTTACACATCTTTTTTACCAACTCTATTCTAGATAAGTAAGTTCTATTCTGATCATCACTTTAAATTGTTTCAGTGTTTTCATCACATGTACAGTCAACTTTTTTTTTCATACGTCCTATAAAACAAAGTATTATTCTCAAACCATTAGGTACAACAGAGTGTTTCGCTTTCTTCTTGCGGTGCGGCGAACCCAGCAAGACTTGCAGCATTGTTGGAGCATACAAATGAACAACAAGGCAGCATTTGTTTCACCAACTGCCAGCACTACCTGGCAACTGAGAACACACATGGCTTTTCTTGTTGACAATTTACAATACTACCTGCAGGTAAATTTAGTGATACGTTGGTTGAAACAGGTTCATGTTGGACATTTGAGATGAATATGTGTTAAATTGTAAATGTTGGAGCTGTAATAAACATTGACGAAATTAAATTTGCAATATTTAATTGGGTTCTTATTTTAGCTCTTAAGTCCTGCTGACTTGCATCAGGTACCCAGGGACAACCACAATGACATACTAGGTAGCAGAGAGAGATCACTACCATAGAATTGGGATGATTATATCAATCTCAAATTTTAAAAATAATTCTTGAAGTTCTTTTGGGTTTGTCTGTTTTACAGTTTCTTTTTTCAGGTTGATGTAATAGAATCTCAGTATAAAATACTTTTAGACAAAATAAACTCTACCAAAGACTTTGAAGCTGCCAAACTGGCACATGAGCATTTCTTGTCATCCCTACTGGCCCAAAGCTTTGTACACATGAAAACTGTGAGTAGGTTTATTAACTATTATAGAAAATATAAATGAAAGACACTTTTAACTTTCAGCCTAGAAGAATTTTTACATTTTGCTAGAACAACTTTTAAGTATTAACTTGCTACTTACTCAAATCATGTTTCCTATTTATTTATTATACACATTATAGGCCTATATATTAATAAAATAATTATAATCATATTCTCTGCATTGTAATGTTAATTTTGAGTAGTTAGTTATTTATTTAAGTAAGAAAAATTTACCTTATCTTTTTTTTTTTATCACATGAGTTAGACAAAACAACAGAATAGATAGAGGAAATATCATCTGAGCATTCTTACAGCCTTAAAGAGTGCATTTAGCTCTATTTTTATAATCCAAAAAGATAATAATTGTGTGTTTGTCATATTTAGTTACAATAGTTTTTACATTGATATGCAATGAAATATATCTGTTAAAAAAAACAATGACACTGTATTCACTAAAATTATTTTCAACATTTTCCAGGTGTTTGCATGTCTTCATGAGATTCTGGATCAATGCACACAGTTTTGTCAACTGTTGGTTGCTGCAGAAAACCCAATGAATGAAACAGATTTGCAACTACTACAAAATATTAAATTGGTATAACAATTAGCTCAGTATGTGAAATTGTGAAAAAGATTATTCCCAGCGTTATACTTATAACTAAAATTGTTTTCCATGCTAATTTTTGTTTGTTATTATGTTCTTTTTTTTTTAAAAGAATTTCCAGCGTCATTCAAGTTTGTTGTTCAGGATTTTATCTGGTGTGCGCAACCAAACTACAAGATCACATTTAGCACAGCTGTTGTTGCGACTTGACTTCAACAAGTTTTACACAAATACAGGAGGACAGCTAGGAAGGTTCTCAAAATTATTTTCATCTCCTTCATTGTTAAATGTAATCCTGGAACAGATTTCCTCCAACTCAATTAAGTATTACATATCAACTTATTATTTGCCATATAGGCAGTTGACTCCGATTTCAGTCTGCTTTTCTTTCTAGATATGCTTCCATAGTCTTTGTCCAACCAAAAACAAACTACAAGACAGCACTTGTTTGATTTTGGAGTTTCCTCTCCTAGATGGTTTGCTGTCCCTAGCTATTGAGCACGGGGGTTTAAATTTAGGATTTTCTGTTTAGAAACCATAAACTTTACCAACTCAACCATGCCAACCCCTTTCTCAAAATTGATTGGTCACGATTTTTATTTAAAAGTTCTTAATGCTAATCTTACTAATGCAGTTGGTGTATTTTAATAAGTTTTAAAACATTTTGTATATAATTTCAATTCACCTGTTTTCTCTTTTTAAAATGATGGCCTATATTTAAATTTTGTTAAACCTCAGTTTAATGAAAATTTTGTTTCATTTCAGTTCATGACCTTAATCTCAAGATGGATGGATCCTCAATTTATTTATTTATGTAAATGATCAAAAGAATTATTATTAAACATCACTATATCTGAAGAATTGTTTTGCTTGTTTCTCTTTAAGCAGTACATTATTATGTTAATATAAAGTTATGTGCATATAGGTGTTCTGTTCACTGGAGTTTGTGTTTATCTATATATAGTCATAATTTTTTCCATAACCTATATATATATATATTTTCTACAAAATGGTCTACATAACATTGTTCATAAAGTTATTAAATTTAAAAGAAACATGTATATGATTGTGGACCACAGTATAGCACAATTGCTAACCTGAAGATATCTGGCTTTAGTACACACTGCACTGATAGGTACCATTTGATGAGTTTGGGACAGTGGTGACTGGGCAAGAAATTTTATGCAACCCCACTAACCTACGATGAGTTCAGATGAACACTACTTCATCTGCTCCATAGTCTCGTCTGAAAGTGTGCTTTTTTTTTTACTTGTTTTCAGTTATTGTTTTTGGAACAAAATCCTGAGAATCTTCAATGTGCTACACTAATTTCTTAATTCTCTTATTAGGCTTATCTATATTTATGATCCAGCAAAGCTAAGAATCATTTGCTATTTGTTTTCTTTAACATTATGTTCATTAACAGTTAATTTATGAATTACAATGCTCAACAATAAAAGGGGAGCTAACAAGATAAATTTGTAGCAATTTTACTCACTCAGGCGAGCGAGTTGTTCCCCTTTGTTTTCATACGGACAGATGTTTGTGGTTTTGAGTTGGGCTACTGACTAGGTACTTAAGCAAATACAAAAAAAAACATCTCTTTACTCTTGTATCTTTATAGAATCTAAATACTAAAAAGTAGGAAAATAAAAACAAGTACTTAAAACATTCTTATTATAATATTATATAATACATCATCTGCCCCATGTGTCTTGGACACGAACGGGCTTAAGAAGAAGAATTATAATAAACCTTGTAGATCTAATTGTTGCATTTAAAGCATGTTGCGAAAAAACCTCGCCTAAACCATATTTTTTCATTAGGATTTTAAAATGACAATCATACAAACTACTAAAATAGGGGCATGTTCATTATTATTATTTATATAGATCTAGGATTTTTTAATAGGCGAGATACCGAGTGGTTTGTCAGTCACTTTCTATCATTACGTTGAATAGTATGACAATAATATAGATCTAGATCAGCCTGCAAAAATAATGGTCTGCTAGAAAATACTGTTGGACTAAAAGATACTTTAAGACAGGCCTAAACAATAACAACAATAATAACACCTTAGAGACTTTAGACTAAAGCCATGGGTAAAAGAAAAGTTCCAAAGAATGTGTCTCAACCCGGAGCTGAATCAGTACCCAGTAAAAAAGATGATGGGTCGACGAAAGAAACAATTAAAATAAAAGGTAGACTAGCCTCCCCCCCCCCCCCCCCCAGCCAGGTGTTACTTAACTTAATATTATATTACTTAATAAATAAGAAGTTAGAAAATAAAGAGGAAAGAGATAGGACGATATTAAAGTATTTCGAGTCGTCCCTTTGAATCCTGGTCAGAACAAGGCCTACTACTACTAGTACTACTATGATCTAGATCTAGCTAGTAGCTCATTTTGTTAGGCTAAGTTACTTTAAGTTAGGGATTCAAAGGTTCAATTCAAAATGTCCTAAATACTATAGTAAATACAATCTCATAAAAATATTGGCAGGACATAAAATATTTGTGGTTGTTTCAGAATTAATTGCTTGTACTTCTGCCCAAGCTATCTTAAAGTTTAAACTACTATCTTTGGTCTAAACTCTAATGATCTAATGCCTATCTTATTCTTACACTACTCTAACTCTATACCTAATGTAACAGGTATTCTAGCATAAAAAAATTATTGATACCTTACTCATTGCAGCATTCTTGTTGAAAAAATATCTTACTAAACTTTAACTTAATGAGATCATTGAATTATTTATAATTTGTTCCATAAATATAAATTATTTACATTATGAGGATCTGAGAGTCGAGGATTATTTTCATTTTTTTTACTTCAGGAAAAAAGACATACTCCCTTCAAGTTTCTACTAAAGATGTAGGCTCAACAACTGATTTGCAAAAGGTAATGTGGTCATCCTTTATTTTTTTTATTTTTAACTTATGAATGGAAAATTTATCAGAAACAAATATTACCAGGTAAACATTCCAGAGAAGCTTGAGCATGCCCTTTGTGAGCTGATCATTGAAGAACAGAAGTCTAGAAAAGTTCTTGGCGATATCTCCAAAAGGATCACACCCAAAAAGTTAACAGTATGTAGGCTACAAACTTATTTGATGTAAAAAAAAAATGTTAAAATCTTTTCTTATTACTCAGTGTTACATAAATGACATATATTTTAAAATATTTAAAACTGATATTTCTTTTTGAAAATGTTGATCTATTTTTTTTCTGTAAAAACATTTTTTAAATATATCTTAACGCAGTGATTGTTTTTTTTTGTTCTCTAATATTTTTTATAGCGCTGAATAAAAAATTGTCCCTAAATAAGAACTATATTTCCAGGATGTTTACAACAGTCTGTCAGATGCTGGATTTTCCAAGAATCAAGTGGAGGCAGCCATGTTGGCTACTATCATGTTGGGTGGTGATCTGGTTCATGCTTTAGATTGGCTTTGTCTTAACACTCAAAATGGTAGACTATGTGTTATCTTCTTGTTGTCTTCTAACTTGCAGCAAGATTCATGGTTTTGTAATCTATTGTTAAAATCTTCATTTTTGTTTGTTTTTGCCCTACTTATTTGTTCTTTTTTTCTAATGCTTAATTAATTGTTCTCTCTAATGCTTAATTAATGCTTTTTCCAGATCAGCTTCCAACTGGATTCTCAGAAACACTAAAGAAAGAGGAAGAAAAGTTAAGGCCTAAGTTTGACAGATCTTTACTTGCTCAGCCTATAGTTGTACAATCTGAAAATAAAAAGGTATTAATTTGGTTTGTTTATTTCACATCTTTATATACAACTAAGCAAATGCAAATGTTAATTTCTAGCACCCTTTTTAAATCTCAACTGAAGTCATTTTGATTAAGCGATGCTGTTGGGTTTTTCTTATATTACCTCCAGCCCAACGCTTTTTTCTTTTTGGATTTTACAGAACATCTATATATTTTTCAAAGATCATTGCTGGTCTTTGTATGTGTTACTGATGGACTTAGTCCTCTTTGCTCCTTATGGAGCATAGGGCCTCCACCATTTCCTTCCATTTCTTCCTATCCTCGGCTATTAATTTTGACATCTCCCAAGACATCCCTATTGGCTTCAGTTCTTCAAGAAGACTCCGCCTCCAGGTCTGTCTTGGGCGCCCTCTCTTCCGCTTTCCCTGGGGGTTCCACTCAAGCGCTTGGCGTGTCACATTTGTGTGAGCCTTTCGCAGTGTGTGACCCACCCAGCGCCACTTCCTCCTTCTTATTCGCACACCTATAGGCTCCTGCCTAGCTTTCCTCCATAGTTCCAAGTTCGGCACTTTGTCCTGCCATCTCAGTTTCAGTATCTGTCTAAGGCATCTATTCATGAAGGTCTGTATCTTTGCTGTGCTTGCCTTGGAGACTCTCCATGTCTCTGCTCCATACAGCAGAACTGCCTTGACATTAGAGTTAAATATCCTAATTTTTGTGGTAATGGAGATGGCCGAACTTTTCCATATGGGTCGCAGGACTGTGAAAGCGCAGCGGGCTTTATTAACTCTAGCGCGTATGTCCTCCTCTGTGCCTCCCGTTTTGCTGATCTTGCTGCCAAGGTAGACAAACTCTTGCACATCATTTACCTGTCTTCCGTCTATTGACACTGGAGGCTCCTGTTTATTGTTAATTCTCATCATTTCCGTCTTTTCTTTGTTGATCTTCAGACCTATGCGCTGCGAGATGGCTCCTAATGCATCAAATGTGTTACTGATAATGTTACTTAAAACAAAAATAGATTTTGTAATAGGCTGGTATTAAATATATTTTTTGGCTTTTGCCTTAGATGTTTTATTAATATGTTTAAAATCTTTGTATGATTATAAAGTTAACATTTCATTTCAAGTTCATGTATAAGCTGGTGATATTGATTTGCATGGTACATTCCAGACAAGTGTAGAAGCCAGTGACAAAAAGCCAGCCATGAAAGATTGGATACTGCAGTATGCAGAGCAGAGTTCAAGTGATGGCAGTGCTACTGAAGAGGAAGCTGAGCCTGTATACGATCCTGTAAGTTTTAATTTTTTTTGTTTGACACACTTGGAAGCTAAGGCTGATAGAATATACATTCTAAAACAAGTTTTTTTTTTAAATTCACCACAGTATGATCAACACTATTAAGCCACATGCGTAGAATATAAATTCTAAAACAAGCTTTTTTTTAAATTCACCATTGAATGTACATCACCATTTAGCCTTATGTGTGCTGAGAGAAAAATTATTTCCTCCAGACATCCCGGTATGCTGAGCTCCATTCCAAGATGCAGGACCTGAAAGATCAGGCTGCCATAGCTAAGTGTAACAACAACACTGAACAACATAAGCAGCTGTCTAAGCTGTTGAAGGAGGTCCACTTGGGTATGTCTTCAATTACTGTCATACATTGCAACCATAATATGTGCTAAAGTATTGTACATTTGATGGTTGGAACTAATATTGTATCAAGTATTGTTTCATTTTTTTGTTTGTAATGTATACTTAGCTTAAGTGTAAATAACCTTGTTTGAGTAAAGAGCCATTTTATACATTATTTCAACGGAAGAAGCTGTTTTGAAAGTTAGCTTATATCCAATTTTAACGCTGACTATACCCCTTGCATTAAAACCTAAACAACATAACCATATTTAATTATTTTAAAATCCTGCCTGATGCTACTACAGTTTGATGAACCCAAGCTTCTATATACAACAACATATCATATGATTACATTAAAAAACAAAAATTAGTGAACATACCTAAACATATGAGTGGTACAGCCTCCCCCTTATTCTGCTAGAATTTGTTTCTCTAATGCCTAACATAAATCACCAGAGAAACGTCCTCTGTTGTGACACTTATTTCTGCCCTACCCTCAGGTGTGACAAAACTACCCCCTCACTGTCTATTTTTGTTTGAAGGTGATTAAAAAAAATTATCTACAGAAATGTCCTCGGTGGAGAAACACCCAGAGTTTGACAAGTCGATAAAATCAAGGCTTAAATCCAACGTATCATCCCAACCCAAGGAGAAGAAACCTGCCCCATCACCAGTCGAAAGTAAACAAAGCGTGACTGAGAAGGAGGAAGGAGAGGATTTAGGACTGGGTCTTTTTGCACAGGCTGAGGCATCAACAGACCCTTCAGCAACAGGTATTCACCTTGTTATTTACAACATCAAAGACACCAGTAATGTCCAATGTAATGCACGCTCAGATTTTTACTTTTACTCTCCCCATTCTTGACTAATATATTCATCCTGATTTTGATATGCAGCTGATACAAAACCAAAAGAAGATGTCCGAACTTTTGAATACACCCGCTCACAGTGGACAGGAAAGTCTCCTAAACAGTTTCTGATTGACTGGGTGAGAAAACATCTACAGAAGAGTGGACCTCCAAAGTTTAGTAAAATTCAAGTGAAATTTAACAGATTTAAAAGCACGTAAGTTGATAATACTGTATGTAAATGATCTTCATGAGGCAGTTTGGTTTGGAATTCAGTATTTTTTCTAGGTCATCTCAAAAATAAATTCCATTTTATGTAAAATACAATTTAAAATAATTATTTATCTAATAGAGAAACATGCATAACAGAAACGTTTGATATTTTTGTGTAATAGAGAAACAGTTGATATTTTTGTGTAATAGAGAAACGGTTGATATTTTTGTGTAATAGAGAAACAGTTGATTTTCTTTGTAATAGAGTTACAGTTGATCGTCAAAAAGATGGACTGCTCACAGTTACCCCAGATATCTTGTGTGACAACATCAAGGACTCAGAGCATTTGGCTGCTACATTAGCCTTGTACAAGTTGTGTCGAGGACAGGTCAGTTTAATTTAACACTCAGAGCATTTGGCTGCTACATTAGCCTTGTACAAGTTGTGTCGAGGACAGGTCAGTTTAATTTAACTCTCAGAGCATTTGGCTGCTACATTAGCCTTGTACAAGTTGTGTCGAGGACAGGTCAGTTTAATTTAACACTCAGAGCATTTGGCTGCTACATTAGCCTTGTACAAGTTGTGTCGAGGACAGGTCAGTTTAATTTAACACTCAGAGCATTTGGCTGCTACATTAGCCTTGTACAAGTTGTGTCGAGGACAGGTCAGTTTAATTTAACACCAAAGTACTTATATATTGCCGCAACTAAAAAATATTCAAATTTTTTTGTCCCGTCAGAAATAGATGACCCCTTACTAAATTCAACCTTATGGTTCAAAAATGTATTTTATCACATACAATTTTTATTTTTGCATGAATTTTATAATTCTACTCATTATTTATGTATCATGTTCATTATAATTATTCAGAATCACAAAACAGTAATAATAAATGAAAGTATGAGCGTGTTGGTTATAACTGTTTTAACTTTACTTTCGTCAGCCTGTTCATCAGCTGCTTCCTCCCCCTTATCGCAATGTGTGGCTGGAGTGGTCTGACGAAGAAAAGAAATCTTTAGAAGAGGCAAAACAAACAGAAAATAAAGTCAGTAATTTTATTTTGTGGGGTGAGCAATGCTTCTAGCTGTTGTTTGAACCTTCATAAAATTTCAAGTTTTTTAAAATGTTTATTGAAACAACTATTGTTTGAGTATGTATGTTTGGTGTGGTTCCTCAGCCCAGGGACCAGTTCATCTCTAAGCTGATGAAGAAACTTAACATAGAAGACACTGCTGGCAAACCTGCGAGTAAGGAAAGTAAAGATAAGAGTAGAGGAGATGAGGAGGAGGAGGATGACTGGGAGGCTTTAGCTGACAAAGTAAGATTTACTTCATGGTTCTGTGGACCTTCATCACCAAAATTTTAATAAATTAAGTTTAATTGATAAAAGATTTTTTTAAAATTTAAATTAATATTTTTTTTACTAGGGTTTGTTAAATGAGATATTTACCAGTACTTCTGTTGAGCCTAAATCAGAGATCAGCAAGCTGCAGAAGCAAGCAGGTTCTCATTTACTGAGCGCACTGCAGAAGAGAAGATCAACATCAGAGTACCAAGATCTGCTAGCTGTTCGTCAGCACTTACCTGTGTATCTGTACAGGCAACAGGTAAGGGTGGTGTTTTACCTGTATCTCAGTACAATCAACCTGTATTTTACCTGTATCTCAGTGTAATCAACCAGTATTTTAGTTGTATCTCAGTATAATCAACCATTATTTTACCTGGAGACTAGGCTCAAGTTATCTAAAAAAAGATAGTAAATAATCTGTTTATATTGAGGGAAGTAAAGAATATATTCTCCAACACAGTAAATCCCCTGTTGTATCTGTAGATTTTAGCTGCTGTGAGAGAACATAGTGTTGTGGTGATAGCTGGAGAGACAGGGAGTGGAAAGAGCACCCAAGTACCTCAGTTTCTTCTGGAGGTGAGTGTCTGTCATGTCACAGATGAATGAATTCTTGGTTAGTTGGAGGGTTTGTGATACTCACTGACTACTAACATTCATACAGTCATACAGCATTGTATTTATTTCATTATAATATTACATACTGCAATTCTTCTTAAGCTATTCAAAACAAATCTACACATCTAAAAAAACTATATATATATATATATATATATATATATATATATTTATTTATTTATTTATATATATATATATTTATTTATATATATTTATTTATTTATATATATATATATATATAATTATATGTAATTGTTTATGTGGAAATACATTGTTACAACTCTGCTGAAGGATGGCATAGATGGAGGTGCAGACAATATCAACATTGTGTGTACAGAGCCTAGGAGAATCTCAGCCACCAGTCTAGCAACAAGGGTATCCCAGGAGATGGGTGAGAGTGGCCTCCCCTTGAAGGAGGCTTTGGTGGGGTACCAGATCAGGTTTGAGTCCCGCAGGGGCCCCCACACACGGCTCATGTACTGTACCACAGGTGTCATCCTCAGACAGCTGCACAACGCAGACAAGTTCAGGGGTGTCACTCACCTCATTATTGATGAGGTAGGAATGAGATATTAATTATATTCAAAGATTTTCATTAATGATGAAGTGTGCATGAGATGTTACTGATTTATTTAAACCTTTTACACACCTCAATAGTGATGATGTATAGATAAAATATGACGTTCTTGTTAATAAAGACGTTTTTCAACTTTATTTAAAAGTACAATAGCGTTGGTATTTATATACAAATATTTAAAATTATATTATCAACTTAAATTTCATTATCTTTATCTCATATTCAAATTTTCTGACCATTAATATTTTTATTTGTATTTCAAGACATACTGCTAAATAAATGAATGAATTTAAGATTGTGGATGTATATTTTGCAGGTGCACGAAAGAAGCGTGGACTCTGACTTTTTGATGATAGTTGTTAAGGAGATTCTGGCTCGCAGAACAGATCTAAAAGTGATTCTGATGAGTGCAACACTTGACAGTCAGAAATGTTCTGCTTACTTTGGTCACTGTCCTGTTATCAACATTCCAGGCCGTACTTTTCCTGTGCAGGTTTGTTACAAGTTGCATAGGAAAAAAATTTCATTATCTTTAAAAGTTTTAAGAAATCTTTTGTTGTCTTTAGTTACATGTTAATGACCAATGTTTAAAACAGTGACAATTAAATAAATTATTTAAATGTTTTTCAGGTTTTTTATCTGGAAGATGTAATAGAGAAGACAGGCTATGTTGTGGACGATGACTCACCATATACCCTCAGCCATCACCAACTTATCAAGGTAAGAGACAGGTGTGGATCTGGCATGCACCAGATAGATCATTGTTACTACTAATACAAATCACAAAAAGACACTTGATTATTAAAACAGTTGTTACAGTAATAAGAATGTACAGTTTCTTGATAGTTTGATTCAGAAAAAACGTGTGGTGTTTGATGGAGATTGTGAATGAAAATTTTCTTTGTTTAGGAGGACACAGCATCTGTGGAGGTGACTTTAAAAGGAGGGAACACATCCAAGCAAAACCTTTCATGGACACAGGAAGACATCAGTAAAATCGACAGGGTAATTTATTTTTGTCTGCAAAATTGACAGGGTAATTTCTTTTTATCAGTAAAATTGACAGGGTAATTTCTTTTTATCAAAAAATTGACAGGGTAATTTTTTTTGTCTGCAAAATTGACAGAATTTATTTTTATTAGCCAAATTGATAGGTAATTTCTTTTTATCAGTAAAATCAACATGGTAATTTCTTTTTATCAGCTAAATTGAAAGGTAATTTATTTTTATCAGTAAAATTGACAGGGTAATTTCTTTTTATCAGTAATATTGACAGGGTAATTTATCACTAAAATAGACAGGGTAATTTCTTTTTGTTTGCAAAATTGACAGAATTTATTTTTATCAGTAAAATTGATAGGTAATTTCTTTTGCCATCATATATCAGCAGAATGTTCCACTACTTTTTACCTGTTATGGAATGTATGAGACAAACGTTAGTTGTAATACAATGTTTCAGATGTTAACATTTGTTTTGTAAATTGTTTTGATTTCTACTTAATATTAAAATTAAGACTGTAAAGGATGAATATACATTAATTTAGAACAATGATAAAAATGTATAGATTATTTACTTATTGCATAGTCTTTGTAATATCTGATATTTCTTATATCTGCATATTAGGTTAAATTTAAGGGAATGCAAATTTTAAAATTAGCATTTATGTTTTAAAACGTATGACCATGATTTTAAATTTCAGACAGACCTGTCAGCTGAGACATATTCATTGAGAACTAGAAATGCTATCACTCGATTGAATCCCAATAGAATTAATCTGGATTTAATTGTGGTAAGTTTGTTTTTTTAATGTAAGCACTACTTTTGTATGTTATACCAAAATAAAATAAGCAAATTTTAAATTTGTATTAGGCTTAATGTTCAAAATTAATATGTCCACAATTTTTTTTGCTTGTGCTGACACTTTTATACAACATGATACAGGCTCTTTTACACCCAATATTCAAACAAATTTCATTGAAAAGTAAATAAATAGGCCTATTTGCACTAACATTATATTGTTTTAAACAAGTCTCTGTAGGAGAGTAAAAACAAGTAAACTAAAACAATCCCTAAAATACCTGTTTACAACATCACTATCATCAGGAATTGCTTTGTATTTGAAAATAAAATTTTACTTTAAAACATTTCGGAAATATCAAATAGCTTTAATTTTAAAAAGCCTTACCAGTAGTTAAAAACTGACTTACCTTATGGAATATTAATACAGCCATGAAAGCATCAGTTCTGTGTTCTTAGGATCTGCTGAAACACCTTGAATCATCACCTCCATTTTGTGACATCAGTGGTGCTGTGCTCATCTTTTTACCTGGGCTGGCAGACATTCAGGAGCTGTATGAAATGTTGACCACCATGAGGGACTTCACCAACACCTCCAAGTAAACATCACAACACTGATATTATGATTTGACATAGCCCTCTTTGCTCCTTATGGAACATAGGGCCTCCATCATTTCCTTCCATTTTGTACAATCGCGGCCTTTAATTTTGCTGTCTCCCAAGACATCCCTGTTGGCTTCAGTTCTTCAAGAAGACTCTGCCTCCAGGTCTGTCTTGGGCTCCCTCTCTTACTCTTTCTCTGGGGTTTCCACTCAAGCGCCTGATGTGTCAAATTTGTGTGGGCCTTTCACAGCGTGTGTCCCACCGAGCGCCTCTTCCTCCTTATTTGCATTGTCATAGGCTCCTGCCTTGTCTTTCTCCATAATTCTGTGTTTTGTTCGGGACTTAGTCCTGCCACCTCAATTTCAAAATCTGTCTAAGGCTGATATAGCCTATACAACTCCAACACTTCCAAGTAAATATTACAACACTGTTTGTATAGCCTATAGTTCAGTTTATAAAGGCTTTAAAAAAGTTTCTAAAATTTTTACCAGCAACAAATAATTTTCTTTCAAATTTCAGGTACCAGATCTTTGCCCTTCACTCTATTCTCAACTCTCAAGACCAAAGTAAAGTCTTCTCAGTTCCTCCCCCTGGTATCAGGAAGGTTGTCATAGCAACCAACATAGCAGAGACAGGAATCACAATACCTGATGTTGTTTACGTGATAGACAGTGGGAAGGCCAAAGAACTTCGGTAAATTCATATTGTATGTTGTGTTAACCACTAGAGATTTGAGAGTAGAGTTACCCTAGTTCTAATACCACAGCTAAGTTGAATTACTCAGCTCATTGCCAACTTCCTCAACTGAAGACAAAACTAAAGAGACATTGTATAAAAAAAATGTTTGATTACCTTGTGTCAGGTACATGGAGACTAGTCAGATGAGTGCGCTGGAGGAAGTGTTTATAAGCAAGGCCAACTGTAAGCAGCGCACTGGGCGAGCAGGCAGGGTGAAGGAAGGCTTCTGTTTCAGGCTGTACACTCATTCACTGTTCCAGGGCCTCAAGGCTTACTCAACCCCAGAGTTACTGAGAGCTCCCCTTGAAGAACTCTGTCTCAACATAATGGTAAGTTTTTTTGCTACTAGAGAAATGTATCAAAGAATGTTTTGTGCCTTTCACTGTTCATTATGGTTATGGCCAGGGTTAGAGTAGTGACACTTTCTAAAATAACTTCAATACCTTCCACCTGTATTTTTACAAATACACATCCATACATTTTTAAAATCAATTGTCTAAATTATTTTCATAAATAAATTCTTGTTAAGCAAATTCTGTTTTGTAATTCTAAAATAATTATTGTGTGTCATTTTACCTATCCTCTCTCTTCTCAGATATTTTTAAATCCTGTCTAAAGTCTGTCAGGCTGTCACATAAACTTTGCTAAATAGTTCATGTATAAATTGTATAAAATGTAATATATTTGACTTCAGTACTAAGTGAAATTTTCCTTATGTTTGCCAGAAATGTCAGTAATTGTATTATGTTTGCTAAATAGTTTATGTATAAATTGTATAAAATGTAATACATTGACTTCAGTACTAAGTGAAATTTTTCTTATGTTTGCCAGAAATGTCAGTATGGTAAACCCCATGAGTTTTTGAATGGTGCCCTTGACCCCCCCTCACAGACAGCAGTGTCCAGGGCCATGGCACTGCTGAGGGAGGTTGGAGCTTGTGAGACAGATGAGAGCTCCCTCACCCCCCTGGGTCACCTACTAGCAGCCCTGCCCGTCCATGTCAGGATAGGCAAGATGTTGTTGCTAGGGGCCATCTTTGGGTGTCTAGAGGAAATTGTAAGTTATTTCCCTTTTTATGTCTTTTTACTCTAATTTTATGGGTTATTCTTACATATAAGCAATATCTTTATAAGTTATTTAGTGCTTTAAAAAGAAAGGAAAATGTATGCATGTAGAGTGGGAAAAAATAATTTGCTTACATTGTAAAATTAATCAATAAATACAAAGCTGGATTTCAGTCTGTTAAAAAATTACTTTTCACAAATGTCCTCAAGGGAATTGAACTGACACAAGAAATGTTCACAGAATTTACTTATTTTTCCATTACCCTAAATTTTTCTTTCAATTTAACCAGGCAGTTATAGCTGCTGCCATGACAGACAAGTCACCATTTGTTGTGCCACTGAGTAAAAGGTCAGAAGCAGATGTTGCCAAAGAAAATTTGGCGGTCGGCAACTCAGATCATCTCACTGTATACAAGGCATATCATGGGTACACATTGAACGTTTTTGCCAATGTATCATAATGTACACTTGCTGTTTGTGTGTACTATTATCATACTTTCATGTATCAATATATAGTACATACTAGCTGTTATGTATTCAATTATCATACTTGCATGCTGAGCAAATGTACATGCATTATTTTCTCTTTATAGTCATTTATTTTTATTTTTCTAAATGTATCTTTTTATTTCAATAAACAAATCCAAATTTCTAACTTGTTTTTTTAATTGGCTGCTTTAGGTGGTGTAAAGCTAGATTAGAGAGCAGGTCAGCAGAGAATGCCTATCTTTCCAAACATTTTCTTAAAAAGTCAACACTTTTGGAAATTGAGGTACTTGTATATGATTTGCCTGACATGATTGAATGTGTTATATTCAACATGGTCTGTAAACTTGTATGAGACCTTTATTTGGAAACTGGTTCTAAAAATTGTATGCTTGTTTGGGTCTTAATGTTTTTTTAACAAATATTTTTTTTTACTGGTAAAAAGTTTTGTTTTCGCCTAAATCTATAAATCTAAAATGATTAAATAAGGTGGACTTCTTTTTAAAATAACTATTATAGTACTGTAATTGCGTGTAAGTTCTGAGATTAATTAATTTATGTTAATGTTGTAGAATGTGAAGAAAGATCTGGTGAAGTTGGTGGTCAGTATAGGATTTGATCCTCAACCTTCAGTAACCAGGAAACTTAATGAAGCTGCACCCAGTAACTTGACAGGGGAAGTTCTAAACATAGCCACTGTTCAGAGTACAGGAAGTGACCTTGATGTAGGAACCATAGCACTGGTCAAAGCTGTCATCACAGCTGGACTTTACCCACAGGTCTGAGGTTTCATGGCTTTATTTATTCACATTCCTTGTCCATAATTTCCTTTTTTACTGTACTTTATTATCCAGGGCAATAAGAATAAAAATAACCTTTTTTAGGTTTCAATAAAAACTGCTTTAAAAAGAAAACTAGAAATGTTATGCTTTATTCATGAATGCTTATGGGAGGGAGGAGGTAAGGGGAGAGAGTTCAAGCTGAAATAAACAGGAGAAACAGTCAATAATTACTTTATGTTGAAGTGTTAATAGTCAAATAATTTCCAACTTTTGTGAAAAAATGCCAGTGACTATTTGGACTTACCTGTGTTTTTTTCTGCCCAGGTGGGTCAAGTGTTGACAGCCCCCTCTGTTGAAGCCTCAGAAAAGTTATCCTGTTTGGTGGAAACCTCCCAGGGTGTAGCCCAGGTACACCCATCATCTGTCAACAAACATCTGACAGCCACTGGTAGCTGGATGCTTTACCATGAAAAGGTTGCTTATCTATGTAGTTATCAAGATATTAAACATGAAAATGATATTTCTAAATTTGTATTTCTACGTGTTTACAAATGATATGTTTTAAAAAATTTGATAGGTCAGGATGTCCCGTGTTTATTTGAAAGACACAACAGTTGTTTCCCCTTATGCTCTACTTTTGTTTGGTGGAGCTATTGAAGTTCAGCACACACAAAGAGTTGTCCTTCTTGATGGATGGATTAAATACACAGTAAAATTTCTTTGCTTTCTTTATTGTTTTTGTATTATCAGAATAATGTCTGTCTTGTAGCTGCACAACCGAAAAAAAAATTCAAAAGGTTTTATTTTGTAATTGATTATATTTTTTTCAAAAGATTTTATTTTAAATACATAAGTAATGACTCAAAGGCTGATATTTTGAAATGTTGTCAGTTTAATGTTAAAATTTTTTTTTTTGAATAGGCAGTTGCTAAAACTGGTGTGATTTTTAAAGAATTGAGAGTTTTACTGAACAGTATACTGGAGAAAAAGCTGCGAGAACCTGCAATGAATTTATCAGGTACAGCTTGATTTAATTATTTTAGTGTGTGTAGCTTCTAAATTAATAATTTACTTAACTAAGCTTGATAGCAAGTGTAGTAAAAATTGAATACAGTAAATTAGTATTCTTTGTGTTCCATTTTTTAAATCTGTGTTATATTGTAGCAAATCTTGGTCTTGGTGCCTTGGTCTTAGTGCCTTGATCTTAGTGCCTTGGTGCCTTGGTCTTGGTGCCTTGATCTTAGTGCCTTGATCTTGGTGCCTTGGTCTTAGTGCCTTGATCTTAGTGCCTTGGTGCCTTGGTCTTGGTGCCTTGATCTTAGTGCCTTGATCTTAGTGCCTTGGTGCCTTGGTCTTGGTGCCTTGATCTTAGTGCCTTGGTCTTGGTGCCTTGATCTTAGTGCCTTGGTCTTGGTTCCTTGGTCTTAGTGCCTTGATCTTAGTGCCTTGGTGCCTTGGTCTTGGTGCCTTGATCTTAGTGCCTTGATCTTAGTGCCTTGGTGCCTTGGTCTTGGTGCCTTGATCTTAGTGCCTTGGTCTTGGTGCCTTGATCTTAGTGCCTTGGTCTTGGTGCCTTGATCTTAGTGCCTTGGTCTTGGTGCCTTGATCTTAGTGCCTTGGTCTTGGTGCCTTGATCTTAGTGCCTTGGTCTTGGTGCCTTGATCTTAGTGCATTGGTCTTGGTGCCTTGATCTTAGTGCCTTGGTCTTGGTGCCTTGATCTTAGTGCCTTGGTCTTGGTGCCTCGATCTTAGTGCCTTGGTCTTGGTGCCTTGATCTTAGTGCCTTGGTCTTGGTGCCTTGATCTTAGTGCATTGGTCTTGGTGCCTTGATCTTAGTGCCTTGGTCTTGGTGCCTTGATCTTAGTGCCTTGGTCTTGGTGTCTTGATCTTAGTGCCTTGGTCTTGGTGCCTTGATCTTAGTGCCTTGGTCTTGGTGCCTCAATCTTAGTGCCTTGGCCTGCTGTGGTTTGAAACTACCCCCACACCACCAACCTATTAACTTTAATTAACTATTTTTTTTTAATGTTAATTTTTTTTATAGGGCCTATTGGACTAATAATTTGTAATATATTTTGAAATATTAATTATTGAATGTTTACATAACTCATGTTTTTGCTAGTGCCTATTGGACTAATAATTTGTAATATATTTTGAAATATTAATTATTGAATGTTTACATAACTCATATTTTTATAGTGCCTATCAGACTAATAATTTCCCACGTTTTCTTTAACTTGCTTTCTCTGTTTGTGTGTTTGTCTTTCCAATCAAATCTTGCGATCGAAATTTCTGGCACTTCCCAGTTAGCTAGCGCGCTGAAATTTTCAGGGAAGCTTTCTTTTGGATGACCATTGAATATTCAATTGTTATTATTACTAAATTGATCAATGGAAACATTTTATTGAGCATTTTAGACCGCTATATAATCTATATATATAATTCTCCTCTGCTAGCCATTAGAAAAAAAAACCAGCGACGCGTACCTCGCGCGCAGTGAAGCGAACGATCACATGTCGCCACAGGCTTAGGGGCAGAGAATTTAGCTTGAACCGAGTTTAAACTTACAGGAGGTAGGCCAGTTTGGGGGAGACGATATGGTCGAGTGGTTGGGCACACGATTGCTATCCCACTCGACACGGGTTCAAATCTATGTGTTCTAGTCAGTAACGTATTCAAACAACGTGTTTTTTACGAGTTGTCTTTTTACGAGTTGTCTTTTTACGAGTTGTCTTTTTACGAGTTGTCTTTTTACGAGTTGTCTTTTTACGAGTTGTCTTCGTTTACCCAAAAAAAGTGAAAAGATAAAATCGATAGCAAGATTTTAATGCAAACAAACAGACAAAGACTAAAAAGTAGAAAATAATAATCATTAAAAAAGTTTTAAAAAACCCACGTTTTCTGATTGAACTAAAAAGTAGAAAATAAATGCTATAGGCCCTACATCACAATAATGCAAGCGATCACTCTACTATAAGCGAGCAAAAACGTGGGGCGCCGTGATTTTCTTACAGTTTCTAATACTGTTGACTCTCTACAAGCTCCCTAATAAAAGTCAATAGTATTATCTAATCAATAGTAATATAACTTTTACTTCGGCGCCCCACGTTTTTCATCGCTTATAGTAGAGTGATCGCTTGCATTATTGTGATGTAGGGCCTATAGCATTTATTTTCTACTTTTTAGTTCAATCAGAAAACGTGGGTTTTTTAAAACTTTTTTAATGATTATTATTTGTAATATATTTTGAAATATTAATTATTAAATGTTTACATGAACTCATGCTTCGTTTACACCCAACAGGCTGTCCATTCATTATTTTACTCAAAGACCTGATTCGTTCTGAAAGGCCCAGGTGATTTTTCCCTCTCATTCTTTCAAGTTTCAAATTGAAGCTTTATTTTTTAAATGTGGCAGTTTGATAACATCACCATTTTACAAGGAAGCTATTAGGTACTTTAATTCTATTCACTATTGTAAAGATGTATGTTGACTAAAATGTATGTTCTAGAATTGAGGTCTCAGCATTTTAATGTCACAATGTCATAATGCAAATAAAAATTATGCTTGATGAATTTTTTGTTTGTAAATTATTATGTGAATGTTAAGCTTTCTGCCTGTTGTAATTTGAATGTTATTATGAATGTGGGTAGGGGTCACCAATCACACAAATGACATAGCACACTTAGTGTGGGAAAGAAGTCAGACTCGAGTGATGATATGGAGTGGTTGGAGGTATGTCATATATATTTTATATTTTAATTTTTAATTAAAAAAGGATGGAAACCATTTATGTTTTGGTAGGGTTTAATTTGAGGGGGAAGGTGTGAACTTTTCTGTGTAATTTTGTGACTGCCTTGTTGGTGTTTCAGACTTAATTATTCCAAAATTTAAAATCAGATGCAGTGTGTAGGTTATACTGAGTATGGGTGTATTGAATATTTAGTGACCATAATCTGCAGCCTGATGCTAGATCTTCTTTGGACCACACATATTGATGGTCTATGTGAATTACTAATGTGATTATGATACACTTTTATTTAATTCAAAACAGCTGTTTGTGCCAAATTTTATTATTCAGTTTGAATTACTGCTAATGCAGAAATTTTGTTCAAACTTTCCAGATACTTTTTTCTCTAAAGACAACACAATACATCTAGGTTGATAAAATGTGTAAGAGAAGAGAAAGTTTGTTTTATTTTCAGTCCGTTTTAAAGCTTAATATTGTAATATTGCTTATTAAAATTAATGTTTATTTTTTTAATCATTGACTGAAAAAAAAAACTGAAAAAAAATTTGCGCCCGATAAGGGACTTGAACCCTTGACCCTCAGATTAAAAGTCTGATGCTCTACCGACTGAGCTAACCGGGCCCATGCATTGTCGATAGAATATTGTATAACATTCTTACTTCAGCCTTAAACCTATTATATTGTTATTTAACTGTTTTATTGCTTCCTTAAAATTTAATTATATATTCTTTCAATTATTCATATATTTGTCAAGTCTAAATAATAAATTAAAATTAAATCAACACTGACATTGTTTATAGCGTATTGCTTTATACCAGCTTGCACGTATGAGCCAAATATAAATTTAAAATTCAATTTGTATCGTTATAATATTATCCTTAGGCCTATAGTATATTATATTTAAGATAGTTTGCGTATATTATGTTAACTTTTAATTTAGTTTTTAATATATAGATCTGGTACAAAATGTATTTTTTAAGATTTCTTTACAATTTTATTTAGAATCTATCTTTTTTAAACTCACACTTTATAAATCTGTGTTACCCGGTATTATTTACTTTCATTTCTCTTACAGAAATCGCGGGAATTCCGCATCGTATGTTGTATTTGGATTTGGGTCTACTCTAGTCTTTAGATTAAAGTTTTGAGAATTGATATTAATTGGGCATATTTTTACTGTTCTAATTTAATTAACTGTCCAAAATGGTGAGAACTAAAGCAGACGGATGCTCATCTGGTCGAAAAGGTAATAATTAGTATTAGATTTAGTCTGATTTAGATCTAGATTAGATCTAGCTAGAATCTAGCTGCAGGTAAAACTCCATTTTTAATTTTTAGGCTAATTTATTTTTACGCGTATTTTATTCCCGCTTCACGTTCACCTCCAGTTGAGCGTATTTTATTATAAACACAACCGAAACATACAAAACCTTTAGGAAAACAGAACATTGGGCTTATTTCTTTATGAATTTTAGTTTTTGATAATTTACTTTTGTCAAAACTTGAGAAAAATCCAAATTTGGATTGTTGAATGTGCTATGTTCGTGTCAGTTGAGAACGGCAACGGGTGAAGTACGTAGCGTAGATTTTCACACGCGAGCACACATAGCGAAAAATTCCGAACTCCCGATTTTCATCGGGCGCTATTTTGTAACCATTTCACATAGATCTAGACTCTAGAAACAAACCTAAAGTACTGTATTACTCAGCTGCCATGCTAATATGTGCAAAAAGTCATTTTGTATTCCTACGCATAGAATTTGAGATATTCATGTTTTAATGGCTTCACTACGTGCGATTTCCCCCCCCCCCCCTTTTTTTTTTCCTCTCACGCGATCGCCTGCACCTGCTCCCGTAACGATCATATTTTATACTTCTTTATCCAATTTCAATAGCTAGACCTATATTAAATAATTTATACCTTTAAACGTGTTGTCATTAGGTGCTATTTAAACTAGGTCATGCTTCCCCCTCCTTCCAGAAATCTAATTGTCATAAACCAAACTCCTATTTGAATAATTTGATAAGCAATATTTTCAATATTTTGAGTTGTGAGTGCGGTTGGGGTAAGGGAACCGATAGGGACCAAAGGTCATGTTATCATCTTTTTTTTTTCTAATTTTGCTAGAGAAAACCATATTAGCCTTGACGTTTACAGTATATCTAGAAGCTATTTTTAGCGTAACATTTTATCTAAGTGTTGATTGGTTCCAATTTTGCAGATAATCCAAAACTCTGTCAGTACATCCGGAAGTGTGAAATGAGAATATGCATACCAGGCAACTTTTGAAAATTATAATCAATTAACCGAAAAACAATCGAAAGAACTTTACATAGAAGTGTTCATAAATGAAAACATGACGTGTAACTGTTTCACATAGAAACAAACCGAAAGTACTGTCTTACTCCGCTGCCATTCTACTCTTATATGTATAAGTCATTTTGTATTCCTGCACATAGAATTTGAGATATTCTTGTTTTAATGATGATCCTCCTTGCGACATTTTTTGTGCCTGTTCCTGCTTGCGTATCGACATTATTTTATACCTTTATATCCAATTTTTAATTATTGAAATAAATATTCATTTAAACGTGTTGTTGAATGTATTATTAATAGATAGCAAAACAAAATTTAAAAGTCTTAGGTTTTAGTTTTAATTAAATTTAATTGGCATCCAGATCAAGTGTTTTTGTCTGGCTGAGGCAGCACTGACAATTTCAGGGCTAAGAGAGCCCATTTGAGATGTAGACATGTTTGTAGAGAATTACTGTTAATGAATATGAAATAAAATGCATGTTTTTCTCTCTACTCTATAGCATTGGGTGCTCAGGCTCCAAGAAAAAGCTTTAGTGGAGCATCATCAAGCACTGGCAGTTCTGATGGGGGATCCCCTGCAGGTACACCTCATTGTGTTTTTACTAGCTTATTCTTTAGGTCAGGGTGTGGAGACATTACCTGCGGAATTACGTATTGTGTCAAGAATACTAAATGGGAGTCAATAATTTATGATCTTAGATGTGCAAGAAGTAATTTTCAACTAATTAGATCGATCAAACTTATGTGGTTTTCTTGATTCTAGTGTAGACATAAATTAAAATCTTTAGCAATGTCATGCATGCAGTATAGTTAACATGTTTTTAAAATGTGTTGATAGTAAACTTTAAATACAAATTTGCATAAAATGATGGTTTTTAAATGCAGTGGAGTATGTACATCTGAATTAATTTAATTTTTAAGCCTATTTTGTAATTATTAGGAACATTTTATCTTCGTCGAAGCTGTGTCAATTCATCCAAATTCCTGATGCTGGTGCTAATGTAGTTACATAACAATCCATTTTCCCCAGGTAAAGGTAAATATGCTGGAGGTAACCCAGTATGTCCACGGCCTACTCCTGACTGGCAAAAAGGGATTTCTACATTTTTCACAAAACCGTCAGGCTCAAGTCCATCAAAGTCACAATCATCACAGGACAGTAAAAGCTCATCTAGGTAATATTCATTAGATACCATTTTTTACTTTCATGTCAGTTTATTTAACCCTGTAACGGTCAGATTGTCTTTAGTATGAGGCCTTATCATTTGGAAAATAGGGTGTTCCTAAGTGGATAATGTCCTTCTAAATAATTGCAAATTTTATTGTTGAGATTGGATTTTGGGGATAAAAAGTTAAATCATGTGGAATCAGCTTATATTTCAAAACAAACAGTACTTATCTTTCAATACAGCCCAAATTGTCTTTGTTAGTTACTTGATAAGGTTACTGTTTCATTGTGAATTTTAATAATTATCTTTGAAAATAAGGCTAAAACATCTATTTTTTTCTTCTCCAGTTTAAATTACTTATTTCTTTCATTTAGAAATCAGGCATTATTTCTTAAAATTTTGTTTCAGTTCTTCAGAAGACTAGACAGCACTAAGTTGCTCCATGGTGATTGCGAATTTTAAATCAAGCTTGTATTCAATTGTTGCGTTGATAAAGACATTCCAGTGATTAAGCTACATTCTTAGAGGAGGAAAATTAGGAATATTCTGGTCTCCATGCAACACAAAGCTTGGTGGTGTTTTATTTTTTAAGACAAAACAATTCTATGTGTTAATAAGTTGGTGTTTTAAAATGGAACTTTTTTCTTCTGATGAAAATTAGTTTTGTTATCTAACAGTACAGCTTTTCAATGTAGGCAGCATGCATTACACTATGTACATAGTTACTTTTATAAAACAATTTACTTCTGTGTATATATTTCATACATTTATCATTCACATTTTCCATGCAATCTCAACCATGAAGTTAAAATTTTTGCCACATTAGTTAATTAGTCTGTGATTTGTCATCTTATTTAGTATTGAGTTAATTTCTCTTTTGGTTGCTTCTTTATAGACCAGCTATAGATGGCAAGGTCAGAAATGCTCACCAAAATAAAATTTAAATTTTTTACTGCTTAAGCTGGCTTTCGCTGCAGCCCATCTTAATACACAGATAGTTAAGTGATCAGGTGCTACCTTTGATGCTTTGTTCTTATAATTTTTCTATGTATTAAATAGCTGGTGGGGTTGTTTTTTTTTTTTTTGTTTTTTTTTTAATAATTAATTTTTCTACTTAATGAATGGTCACACTTAACCACAGTGTTTTGTATAGATATTTAGATACAGTTTACACTTTGTGGATTGTTGTATTATAATTCAAATTTTGTTGTGCTCATATACTGTACTGTAAACCATTTTCTAGGATTTTATGTAAAGGTTTCTTTGCTACTAACATACTTACTTAAGTGCCTTATATAACCAATCTTTGTGTAAATAAGAATTTTAATGTTTATGCAATAAATTTTATTCTTTTTCTGTGTGTTCTCTGTTTGTTCTCTGTCTTAAATTATTAAGATTGAATAGTCAACCACTATGCAACTACAATATGAAAACTATTACTATTACCCTCAGACAAAGTACCTCTGTAAAATCACACTTCCCTAGCTTCATCAGACAGAAAGGCTTTAAGTTTTACTTTAACCTAGCACCCCTTGTGGAATCAGGCACTTAGATTTATATCAATTCCCTGCTTATTTCTCTTCGTATAATTAATCGTGAGCAAAATCTTCCCTTACAGATTCAGTAAATAGATCATAGTAGACTATTCTGTGCAGTGTTGGCAAACTAGGAACCTATGGTTAATATCTACTGCACTGTGAAGTACCAACACTAATGAACTAGCTGCTACATTGGAATCTACATAGACATTTTAATTTAACAGAGAGGCTAGTTTGATCTCAAAAGAAAATCAATTCAAGGACTTGTTATGACAACATTCAATTGAAACAAATTATGCATTTTTAGACGTGACCTTATCTCTGTCCACACCTATTACCATCGTGTAATTAATAACATCCATTTTTTTTTAAAGAAGTACCGTCGGTTAATCACACTCTGCAAGAGAGATGGGCCACTGTGTAATTAGTGCCGCAGGGCTCCCGTGGGACAGAGGCGTAGCGACCCTTCCCGGCGCCCGGGGCGAACTTTCAATTTGGCGCCCCCCCCCGCTTATATATATATATATATATATATATATATATATATATATATATATATATATATATATATATATATGTGTGTGTGTGTGTGTGTATAATTATGTGTGTGTGATAGTGTGTTTATATATAAGCTTGTGTGTGGGTAAGAGTGTATTTGTGTGTGTAAGCGTGTGTGTAAGCGTGTATGCTACAGTCCGGACAAGGTTTAATAATTACATTGTATGATTTTCATTCCTTAAAACTTTACGACAATTTAATTCCCATTAAGATGCGTTTAACTTTTTTTGCGAAAGATTAGTAATGTCAGTAAAAAAAAATAAGCCTGATCTGTGTTAGAGGGTAGTTTGTAGCTAACGCTAATATGTTTAGACCAGCCTTATATGTTCTAGTTTTGAACAATCTCTGTTGTGATATGGTACATAGTTGGATTCGAAGTTTGTTAGAGTAAGGACACACAAGTGACATACAAGAAGTTATCAGAAATATTTATTGTTCACATTGGAATACGACATGGGTATTTCGTTGATTGGTTGATGGTATGACAAAACAAGCTAGAGAAAACAAACTGGAATCCAACGGATGTTAACAGCTCGTAGTCTTGGATTTCGCAGATTTGCCCTGCCTTCTCGCACACAGTTACTTCCAGGCATCTTTTCGGGGGGGGGGCGAAGCCCCCCGGAAAAATTTTTACGCCCCCCCCCCCCCCCCCCGAAGAAAGTTTACCGCCTCCCCCCTCCCCCCGAAGATTTCAAGTGCCCCCCCGGAGAAAAAAGTCTGGAAGAAACACTGATCAAAAGTATCTGATCTCTCACGTTGAAGTTGAGAGAATCATAAGAATCTTACAAAGAACTAGTCGCGTCTTTTTTTTTTTTAACAAAACTGGCTATTGAAATTGTACATTACGCGTTAATACACTTGGTTTCTTTACTAAGTGTTAAGAGAGTTATCTACTCACCAATCCAGTACAAATACTTGCGATTTTTGTTAGCGAAAAAAGCGCCCCCCCCCCACCCCCACACACACTCATCACAACCATCTTGGACAAAGTTTGTAGAGCGGTTTTTAACGTAACTAACTTTTTTTTTAGAAATGTTACACAATTATACAATACACAGTACAATTCGTTTCTTTCTGAGAGCTAAAGGTTGTTTACTCAGAATCCTGTGTAATTTTGCTATTTTATTTAGCATAAAAGCGCCCCCCTGCACCATCTTGATAAAAGTCACTAACGTATTTTACAGTTCAACAATCGTACAATACGTTTTAATACAATTGGTTTCTTTTAATAGTGGTAACGTTTATCGACTCAACAATCTAGTGTAAATTCTTCCGTTTTAAGTCTCGAAAAAGCGCCCCCCCCCCCCCCCATCTAGGAAAAGCTTCAAAGCGGTTTTGCCGGTCACTGTTTCTTAAGAGTATATGTTTTACATTAAGAAATCAAGATAGAAAACAGTTAAATCAGTATGTAAATGCGTGTAGCCATTACATTTCTTAACTTAAACAGTTTATAATTCAAAACTGCAGCATAAAATCAGCTTTAAATTTTTTTTCCCACCCCTTTTGGCGCCCCCATAGGGTCGGCGCCCGGGGCGGCCGCCCCCCCCGCCCCCCCCTAGCTACGCCTCTGCCAGAGGCGTAGCGACCCTTCCCGGCGCCCGGGGCGAACTTTCAATTTGGCGCCCCCCCCCCGCTTATATATATATATATATATATATATATAAAAAAAAAAAAAAATATATATATATATATATATATATATATATATATATATATATATATATATATATATATATATATATATATATATATATATATATATATATATATATATACATGTGTGTGTGTATAATTATGTGTGTGCGATAGTGTGTTTATATATAAGCTTGTGTGTGGGTAAGAGTGTAAGCGTGTGTGTAAGCGTGTGTGTAAGCGTGTATGCTACAGTCCGGACAAGGTTTAATAATTACATTGTATGATTTGCATTCCTTAAAACTTTACGACACTTTAATCCCCATTAAGATGCGTTTAACTTTTTTTGCGAAAGATTAGTAATGTCAGTAAAAAAAAATAAGCCTGATCTGTGTTAGAGGGTAGTTTGTAGCTAACGCTAATATGTTTAGACCAGCCTTTTATGTTCTAGTTTTGGAACGATCTCTGTTGTGATATGGTACATAGTTGGATTCGAAGTTTGTTAGAGTAAGGACACACAAGTGACATACAAGAAGAAGTTATCAGAAATATTTATTGTTCACATTGGAATACGACATGGGTATTTCGTTGATTGGTTGATGGTATGACAAAACAAGCTAGAGAAAACAAACTGGAATCCAACGGATGTTAACAGCTCGTAGTCTTGGATTTCGCAGATTTGCCCTGCCTTCTCGCACACAGAGTTTCTTCCAGGCATCTCTTCGGGGGGGGGGGGGGGCGAAGCCCCCCGAAAATTTTTTACCGCCCCCCCCCCCAGAACGAAATGAAATTTATATAATTTATATATAGAAAATATATACGTTTAACAGTGTCCGCACACCCCCACCCCCCGAAGAAAGTCTACCGCCCCCCCTCGAAAATTTCAAGTGCCCCCACGGAGAAAAAAGTCTGGAAGAAACACTGCTCGCACAACGTCAACAACAAATGCAGAACTAATTGTATTGATTGAAGAAGCAGTAACAATCAATTTAATGATAGCCCATGACGTTCTGATTATAATCAGCAGCAATAAAACGCGTTTTAACACTCTAAGAAAATGTAGAATTCAAATGCATTGTCAAAAAAATTCAATCAGGATCTATAACTAAATGTGGTCTCTTTTACTGTATGGCTTGGAGCTAGATTACAGACAGTGGAGAATGAAATAAGAGCATGGAAAAAAGTGGTGGTTAGTGGCTTAGGGATTCAAGAATCCGTGATATTTAGTTCTCTTTAATATAGTTCAGTGATCCAGGTAAGATGTAATGCAATCAATCAAAAGTACCTGATCTCTCACGTTGAAGTTGAGAGAATCGTAAGAATCTTACAAAGAACTAGTCGCGTCTTTTTTTAAAAACAAAACTGGCTATTGAAATTGTACATTACGCGTTAATACACTTGGTTTCTTTACTAAGTGTTAAGAGAGTTATCTACTCACCAATCCAGTACAAATACTTGCGCTTTTTGTTAGCGAAAAAAGCGCCCCCCACACACACTCATCACAACCATCTTAGACAAAAGTTGTAGAGCGGTTTTTAACGTAACTAACTTTTTTTTTAAAATGTTACACAATTATACAATGCACAGTACAATTCGTTTCTTTCTGAGAGCTAAAGGTTGTTTACTCAGAATCCTGCGTAATTTTGCTATTTTATTTAGCCTAAAAGCGCCCCCCCCCCCCTGCACCATCTTAATAAAAGTCACTAACGTATTTTACAGTTCAACAATCGTACAATACGTTTTAATACAATTGGTTTCTTTTAATAGTGGTAACGTTTATCGACTCAACAATCTAGTGTAAATTCTTCCGTTTTAAGTCTCGAAAAAGCGCCCCCCCCCCCCCCCCCCATCTAGGAAAAGCTTCAAAGCGGTTTTGCCGGTCACTGTTTCTTAACAGTATATGTTTTACATTAAGAAATCAAGGTAGAAAACAGTTAAATCAGTATGTAAAGGCGTGTAGCCATTACATTTCTTAACTTAGACAGTTTATAATTTAAAAATGCAGCATAAAATCAGCTTTAAAAAATTTTTCCCACCCCTTTTGGCGCCCCCATAGGGTCGGCGCCCGGGGCGGCCGCCCCCCCGCCCCCCCCCCCCTAGCTACGCCTCTGGTTATTGTTAGTTATGAAAGGCGACGTTTATATTATTACAATATAGATTTAACTAGAAGTAGAACAGTAATAAAGTATGTGAACATAGTTTATCAGTTAAAAACTTAATATGCCTATTTATAGTTTCCAGTTGTGATTCGATGTCCGAGTTTTAAAATTTAAGCATGTAGATCTAGTTCTAGATCTATATTTTTTTAAAAAAATTGTAATTTTACTAGGCCTAATTTACATCTAATGATAGTTCGAGACTCTACAAAACTTTTGCAATGTAGAATTTAGTTAATTTTTTTAACTTTGTATAAAAAATAAAAATTCCCAACGTAATATTCTGTATTCCTATCGCTGAAAAACCCCCAATAATTTTAGCCGTGTGTATACATTTTAGCCGTTTTACAGTAAAATATTCGGGAGTTTACGGTGGTTGGCTGAAAGTGGAAGGTGTGTTTTAAGCAATTTTCTCACACACTGTGGCGGATGTTGTCGGAATAGACTGCGTTTCAGTGTTTGTTTATAATTTTTCATTCAGATGTTTGGATTTTTATGCATTTTATAATGGTATAAGCATGCGATTCCGCATATATTGTGACAAATATGAATCCCCCGACAGGTAAGCAGACTAGGTCTAGATCTTTAGATCTATATTTAAAATTTAATAGAAAGAGAGAGTGATTTGTATTAAAATTAGAAATTTTAGGCCTAGGCCCTTTTGCCCGGTAATCTATCGCTTTAGCGTAATCAATTCGGCCGTCACTAGTAATGTAGTAAATGTAGGGATAAGGTAACTAATAAATATGGCTTAAATATGGATATATTTTTGCATATTTTACTAAAATACTAAAGATAATTGAATATTAAACCACATTTAAGGTTTAAATCAATAAAAATGTCAGGAAATTAAAGTTTAACAACGATGTTACAGATACTAAATTTGCTATTAAAACAGCGGCCATCTTAAGAAAATATTATTTTGAGTCATTTCCCTTTAATTTCTATTTGTATGGAAATGTATTGATGTTTGCTATTAAATAGGTTAGTCTTGTGTTTAAATACAAAGCATGCGTTTTTTTTTTTTTAAATTCTGCCCTTTAAACAATTTAATTGACGACAATAAACATCAGTTCTAGAATTATTATTATGAGATGCAATTTTTATACATTAAGATACTCCCTATTTTTATAGAGCTACCACTACACAGAGCCGGCGTTAGGGATACGCGGGGCCTAGGGCCAACCATCTGCGCGGGGCCTTTCCATTATATATATATATATATATATATATATATATATATATATATATATATATATATATATATATATATATATATATATATATGTATGTATGTATGTATAAAGGCCTATATAATGTGATGTACACATAATAACGGTAATGTTTTGGAGTTTATAAGCTAATGTCAAACTTTCCACTATAATAACAGATTTTTATCTCTCCCATGTATTAACCCAATGTTCGTAGTTTTTTTTTCCTTTGCTAAGATATTAAATCACTTTTGACAGTTATGTAATTCATACCAAATCACTTAAGAAAATTTAATCACGTGCCGAATAATTAGAAAAATAAAGTTTACGATACAGCTAACTCGGCCTGATGTATCAAAACAGTATAGACTTCAAAATTTGTTTAGAATTCATACAATATTTTAAAACCAAAATCATTATTGTCTTAATTATTGAACGGGTGAATCCTTAAGGTGACACAACATAACAACAGTTTTAACTTTCTTCCAAAAAATAATAATAAATCACTCTGTTTAATGCCGCCTGATAAAGATCCTAAGCCCCCCCCCCCCCCTCGTCGCCCTCCTCCAACCCCTCTGCACGCAACTGAATGTTAATTTTGTTATACCAAGACAAGTAGGCCTACATATAGAGTTTCTTCCAGGCATCTCTTCGGGGGGGGGGGGAGGGGGGGGGGGGGGCTGGTCTGTCAGGTCACTAACTGTCTACTATAGACATCCCGTCTGCTCACTAAAAGGACGTCTTCATCGGTCCGCATATAATAGGGTATCTCTTTACGTTGTGGGCTAATTCTCGACCGCCATCTCCAGTCAGCTCAGGTCAAATGCCAGGCGACCGTACCCTACACAAAGGGTAGGTGTGACACTATTTTTGTATCGAATTACGGCCTGTCCCAGTTCAGGTGGGACTCACCAACATCAACCGTGGCCTCAGTTATAACAATCAACAACGTCGGCATCCGACCATTTAGTTTTTCCCAATTGAATTCAGCAACAATTTTTTTTTTAAGTTTACGAACTAATTCAGATAACAATAACAGTGCTGAAGCGCGGGGCCCCTTCAAGCGCGGGGCCTATGGCGACCGCCCCGTTCGCCACCCCCTAACGCCGGCTCTGCCACTACATATCTAATGTTTATTTAAATATTAGTTGAGTTCATTCTTATTGTTTGTGTTATTCTTTGTTTCCTATTTTCATTTAATATTTTCATGCTTTTTTCCTTTAATTAGTGATTTAATCATAAATGACGTCCCGTTTTTTGACCTCTCTTCACCTTAACCTCCCCCCCCCCCCATTTTCGCCGTCACGAAATAGTTGTAATGTCGAAAATTACCTTTTTGCCCTGTCTGTTAAAAAGTCAAGCCATAATTCTAATGAAAAATATTTTTAGCATTTTTGTATTAGGTGAAATACATAACGTTTCACGTTTCTTACCCCTCCCACTTCCCGCGTAAAACGTCGTCTCAAAACCAGTTACTCCACCCCTAAGTGTGCGATGTCATTTAGGGTAGATGTCAAGTCCTATATACATTTTGAATAACCTTTGTTGTCAAAATGTTGATACCAAATACCCAAAATGAGTTATATGGGGTTGCCCATAAACGATGTCACATATGCAATGCTAATGTGACGTCAACTTACGCAGGGTGGTCGGGGGGGGGGGGGGGGTGATGCGTGACGTCTATTTTGGAATCTTCTATAAAGCTGTGCTCAATGAAAATGAGGAACATAAAGCGTTCGTTTTCATGCATACATTTGTTCATAACTATTGCATGCCTGTTATACTAAGCGGTGTTAAACAACCTCAGCACATCATCCCCGCCAAAAAGGGCCTGCCACTAAATGAAGTAAATGCCTACCGACGAAAATAGGCCGCACTATATTGACTCCAAATGAAATAACTTCTGACAACAAGGCTCAAACCAAGTAGCTCCTGTCAACAATATTCGACAAGTATTGACTAGCAGGTAAAATGGGACAAATTGAAAATTGAAAGTTTGTCGCCTCTGGGGGGTGACACCATTAAGTGCCGCACCGGGTGACACTCGACCTCGCTACGCCACTGGGCTAATGTAAAGCCACAGATCAGTATAGCCTTGAATTTAACATAAAATATTGTTAGCAGTGGACAGCCTCTAAGACTGTGCATTAGGAGTACGGCCGTCGGCAAAACGCCAGAGTCCGACGATATCTGAACATCAATTTTGTCTTTTATGAAGTGCAGGGGCACCTTTAAGACCTGAGCTTGGCCCCTGTTGACACCACCACTAGCGCCGCTTATGTCCACATATTAATCACACGTTTTGCGTGGAGCTTAATGGACAGACGTTTACAGGTGGGACCGGGAGCCTAAATGCATTTACCGAAGCCGCTGTGTCACGGGCATTTTAGAGCCGAACGTCTCAGGGCAGCAGGTTGCAGAAATTAAAAGCACGTGAATTTGTATAGTAGAGGGAGAACATCATGCCACTGTAATAAATTAAACACCAATATAATTCACCGAACTAAAGTTATTTAGATCTATTAGTCAGGCTAAACGTCGTTAAAGTCTCATCGCCATAGTGATGTAGTGCCTGTTTTGATTTTCTTTTAATTACGCGGTATCTTTCTTAAACATTAGCCTAATGACAAATGACGTCACGCGCGCCGCGAACTTTGTGACGTTGTGCTTAGTGGGGGATGAAACGGCGTGGTTGAGAAAAATGACGTATTTCTTTTTTTTTAACAGACGAATAAGTGATAGATTCTAATTTTCCTACGAACTATACGTTGATCTAGTTGTTTTTTTTCTAGAGGGGGATATCACTATATTGTGATGGGCGGTTTATATATAATCTCACTATATTCTGATCTACTACTATTCATACGGCAACTATTATACTCGTGAGGAGGACGGGAATCACTCTTATGTTCCGCAGACACTAATTAACAATGTCAACAACTTAGTTTATGAAATAACATGAACTTAATTAACACACACTTATAGATCACTTTCACAATATCAAATAATACGTCCGTTTTCTACTATATCTAACCCCCAATTAACTTCACTGCTGCGTCTTACGTCATCGGCACATTGTCGCACCATGCTCACGTCACACTCACGCCACACATATGTTATTGAACACGCGCACAATACTCTCGCACCAAATCGTCTACCGTCAAGTTCGTACCTTCCTTAGTAACCTCTACTTGTCTAGTCTAATTCTATATATCTACGCTATGACACATATAGTGGGTGTTTTTTTTGTGTGGTAATAATGGATGGTGGGGAGGGGTAAACATTGACTACTGAAGAAATCAAAAACTGATGACAGCAGAAGGCAAAGAAAAAAAAAAAACAAAAAACCATGTGGTATTCAAATGTAACTAATTAAAATTTGAACCTATTTTAAAAAACACAATAATCTTAATTCAGAAAAAGTGTAGGCCTAAGACTAATGTCTACAGACAAAATAAACAACTAAGCTTAATTAAATGGATCGCTCATAAATGACGTCATACTTTTCCCGACAATTTCCCTCTCACCCAATAGTTACTAAAAGCAAGATGATGATTTAATATCATTTCGCAGTTCTACTATACCCGAACCCTTAATCACAATTTCTAACGAAAACGAATATATTCTTCATAATTTTTGAAATAATATTTTACACCGTCCCATATTTTGAGTCCAACGTCATTCATGAGGAATATGGACGACCTAATAATTGACAAGTTAAGGGGTCATCCATAAATGACGTCACGCTTTTTTTTTACGATTTTTACCTCCCCCCCCCCCCCCCTCCCCTCCGTCACACGTCGTCACATAAAGTCAGATCCCCCCCTAAAATGACGTCACACATCAGCCTACAACCCCCCCCCCTCAAAATTGCAGTTGATTTTTTTTTAAAACATCGATATTTTTCCAAAATCTTGTCTGAAATATGTCAAAATATAGTATTTTAATCAATTCCTATTATAATTTATTAAAAGTGTTTTTTAAAAAGCTAAATAATGTCTAAAATTCGTTTTCTAACATTTCTTATCTATAAAGCAAAAGTGTGACGTAGCACCATCTGAACCCCCCCCCCCCTCTCCCCCTCATCACACAACGTCACAAAATTACCGACCCCCCTCCCCCCTACGATTGTGACGTCATTTATGGACGACCCCTAATCAGTACAAAAGGGTTTAGTAAATGTTGGACCTCCCAAAATTTTTTGAGATCTTGGATGTACATACATACATAGCCTTCATTTCACTTGAAAATGAAATTAAAGATAAGAAGACGGCCCTCTGTCTTACTTATATTAAACAAGACAGGTATGTATAATATTAAACAACTAAGTCAACACAATATACATACGAATAGACATTTTTATCCAGGGAAACTACTCTAAATTTTATTTGGAAAGATGGCCGCTGCTTTTTTCTACTAATATTTATCTCAAACACCTAGTTTAAAGTTAGTTTCATGTTATTTAAATTGTTTTGGTCACTGTTTGTTATTTTAAATCAATTATCTGTGATATTTTGTAAAATTTGACTTAAATAAACTTATTCAAACAAATATATTCATCAGCTACCTCTCCCGCACATTACTACTGCAGCCGAATTGATTACGCTAAAACGATAGATTACCCTTTTGCCCTCTATTGTAATTGTTTTTTTTTTATATCTCTACTCTAGATCTAGTACTAGATTCTAGTAGTACTCTAGTCTCTAGACTAGTGACTAGATCTAGATTCTAGATCTAGATTATCTATCTACTATCTTAGTATCTAGATCTAGATCATCAATTCTAGATATGTAGGCCTAACATTTTATTTAGACTTAATTATTTATAATTAATAAAGTAGGCCTAATGTAAACTAATGTTGTTATTATATTTATTATTATTAATATTAATATTATTTTGTAGGATCAATCAATCATCTGTCTGTAGTTTTTTAGGCATAGACCCCTGGACTGCCCTGGACCCTGGTGTTTATGTTAATAAAATAATAAAAATATGTTAGCCGTTAGCCTATTGATGTTGGTATTATTTAGGCCTAGGCCCTATTTTTTGCCCTATTTAATTTATTTTAAACCAGATTATTTTACTTAGGATACCCTATACTGCCCTATAGCCTAAAATCTAAAAGAAAGATCACTAGTTCTATAAGAAAATAATGTAGTCCTCTCCTATGATATTAGATCTAGTATTAGTGAGGTATTACTATTAGCCTACATTTTTACTTTCTCGTATATCCAAATATAAAGTCTTGTTGTAGCCTAATTGGTCTAAAAAGATTTGGAAAAACATAGTTTGCAATTTGGTCCGTATGTCTGTGAACACTATAACGATAACGTGATTACCATTACAGCTTGGTTGATGAAATCTCATATAAATCTAGATCTATATATTATATCAAATTTGTAGTTCTGTATCAACTTTTCAGCGACTTCAGTTGGCCGGAAGTGGAACTTATTCTACTTTTGGTTATTCAAAAGCCTATAACTTGAGTACTGTTTCAGATTGATAGATGATATTTCCCATATAAGTAAAAGATCTAATTCTCTGCCGTCTTTCAAATTTTGAGTAATTTCTGTTGATTGTTCACCAGAAGTAGTACTGTACACCATTTCTGATTTCTCAAAAAATGCATATGAATTCATTAAGTACAAATGTTCTGCTCTGTTATACACAGACTATTGTTTGCTGTTCACTTGTTTCACAGTTCTTTTTTCTATGAGATTCTATTCTATTTTAAAAAGTAATTAAAAATTGATTAAAAATCATGTCTATATCCCAATTTGCCATAACTATAATACTCAGTTTTCACCTTGCTTTTTCAGAATAATTAAATACATATTTTATCTTAGTCTTTCCAATGAACAATTAGGCCTACTCTGTATTTTTTTATGTTCACATTGTTCTGCAGCATTTAATTGTCTGCAGTCAGAATCTCAATCATTAAAATTAGATACAAAATTAGGCCATATTCTTTTTATGCTATGCAGAGAAAACAAATATTTGCTACTTTTTTTAGTTGATAGTCTAATATAAATAGTAATATTAAATCTATAGATAAAAGCATTAAGTCATTATTTTATCATTTGTAAATAATCATACTACAAAGAATTTGATAAAGAGACCCTTAAATAGCTATTGAAGCTGAAGAAAATTTAAATACAATGAATCAGAAGTTAAATTGTGAGAATATTATTTAGCATGTTAATTAAAATCTTTCGCTTTAGATAAATTTTGATCGGTTGTTTATAAATGAAGAGCTTTTCTGTTTAGTTTAATTAACCACTTCTTGTAAAAGACAAGACCTCATCCGCCTCTCAAGTGATCTTTGTTTATCTCACTAATCTAGTGTTATTAAGCTGTGTCTTTGAAAAAGTTGATTTTCCTTAACAGATAGCAGGACTGTGGTGGAATTAGCACCTCGCAACTCATTGCTGCAAATCCAGGGCATTTTGAACAAAGGAACTGATGAAGAGCTGGTCAGTATTTAACTTATCAGTTTTTCTTGTGTTATTGACTTTTTACCCGTACTGCACTTGTTGCTGGTCAGATTTTCTTGTTATTGAGTTTTATATTTTTAATGATTCCCCACTTGTAATATTTATTGGAGGGTATTTATGATGGAGTTTGCTGGTGATGTGTGGGTTAAAAGTTTGTTTATTCACAGAGTAATAAGTAACCCTGACTATAACATTCTGATAGTGCTAGTAATAATATATGCATTCTTTCAACTACCACTTGGTTGTTAACTTGCATTTCTAAGGTTAAAGAACACTTTTTATAAGTAAATCCATTTTATGTTTGTAGATTATGGCTGATAAAGCCTAAAATGATGTATTGGAGACAATGTATTGTGTTTAAAATCTTTCAATATTAAATTGGATTTTTTTTTTTTTTGTCTCTCCAAAGATCTGTTGGGGATACAGGCCTTCAACATGGAAGACAGTTGTGTTTTACACTGCAGCTGTCTTGACATTAGGAATACTTTTACTGGTTGTACATTGGAGGCCAGAGCTGGGCTGTTATTTAAGGTTGACCAAATGCTCACTCCACAAGGCCAAGTATATTCTGTTGAAGGTCAGTTAGTCTTTAGTTTTGTTTTTTTAAAATTGGTTTATCTGTGGTAGAGTTTTAGCTTCTCTACAAAGTTTGTATGTTCTAGAATGTATAGCTACTTTAGTAGTTAATTCACTTTTCTAGTTCCAGAAGTTTATTTTAGCAATTATCTACTGTTAGAATTTGAACAGAATTGTTATAGCTACTGCACAGTTTCAGAATAAAAACTTTATTTTTTAGACTCGATATGGCCACATGAGCGTGATAAAAGTTCAGTTTTTGACCGAGCATATTGAAGGGTATGTAACAGTTTATTTCTCCCTGCATGTTCTGAGTGTGGCTGTTGTTGTTTAGAATGCTGAAGATATTGTTTTGTCAGTGGCATATTAACTGACTGTAAGCACCCTGAAGTTTTTACACTGTGACTTTAATTACAGGAATACTCTTAAAGAATTAATAAAAGAACTTTTGATTGAAATTTAAAATATAAGTAAATAACCAGTTTATAGAATTCTAGCTAATTTAATATATAAAAAATATACAGATAGTTGAGATAAATATTCATATGGCTCAATTTAATAAATATTTAATCATTTACAATCCTCTTTAAAGTTGGATGTTTTTTTTTTAGCTTTGATCATATATTTCTTTGTGAAATCGACCAATTCACTGATAGGTTGGTTTTGTAGATGTTGTCTCTTACTAATGTCATGGACAGTTACATTTATATATTTTATTTTGTTGAAATCCACACAACTTTTATAATGAAAACAGTTATATGAAATACGGACCAGTACAAATTTCATTTACTTCTGGTTGAAATAATTTTTGAGTACTTCATACCCTCTATAGAAATAGAAAGTCAGTTAAATTATTTTAGAAATTTAAACCTTCCAATTATTAAAATCTGTTTTTGCTGCATTGTTTTGGTGCAGATAGATCATGACTGGTACATGTTTGATGTTGGTTACTAGGCCCTTCACCTGGCCATAAACTATTTCCCAAGTGCATTCTTTGTACCTGACTTGTAGGTCTACCATGTGCTTATGTCACCATAACCAAAAAAAAATGAGTGTAAAAAGGACTGGTACATACTTGATGTTGGTTACTAGGCCCTTCGCATGGTCATAAACTATTTCCCAAGTGCATTCTTTGTACCTGACTTGTAGGTCTACCACCTGCTTAATGTCACCATAACCAAAAAGGGAAGAAAAAAATGAGTGTAAAAAGTTAGACAGAATCTAGATTAACTGCTGTAAAATTAGTCAATAAATTAGGCTATTGTACAAGCCAAGTATTACAGTATTGATTTCAAATGAAATCAAATCTGGGTGGCTAAGAAAATTTGTTTGCACACTAGTTTAAAATAGTTTTAGTTTGTACACTGGTGAGTCAGTATTTATATCCTTTTTTTTTACTGTTCAACTAAGGGTTGCAAAAATGTGATATAGAATCAAATGTGTAACTAGTAATATGAAAAGGATTTTAAAGAAGTTAACTGTAATAAAAAAAATGTGTACATAATAATGAAAGGAATTCCCAAAGTCTGTTATTAACAAAGTTTGTATCCAATAATGTTGACTGTGGTTGGGGTGAGAGTGGTTGTTACTAATGTCCTTGACACTGCCTTCATGTTTTGTTTTCAGCCTCGTGGTTTACTCTTGTGGCCCTAAAAGTAATAGGTAGTCCATTTGCTTAGTTAGCTGAGTAAACATTACTATCTTATGTTTGGTCTACATACTCTTGTAACAGCTTGTACTAGAACTCCTGGCCACTGTCTGAGCATTCACTATCAGAGCTAATTCCTGTATCTTGCTTGCTAGTTGAGAAATGAACTCTTGATAGTTCCGATTTGTAATTTATACCACAGCTTGTAGAAATAAAGTGTATACAAGAATGTAATTTATATAAATATATATATATATTTTTTTTTCCTTCTTATAATTATGTTTATAATTTATTCTATTGAAATTTACTTAAATACATTTTTTTAAAAAATTCAGTTAATCCAAGATGTTTTTCTGTTTGTTGTTTCCTAGTGGTCAGGAATTCTCTTGGTTAACTAATTCTGTTTTAACTACTAACCAACAGTGTGTTTCTCCTTTAAAAACTTTTCACTTGATTTCTGACTATGTTTGGCTGTAGTTAGTTGTGGTTTTTGCTGTGAACTCTGAGAAATTGTTTCTGTTACAAATTTGGTTTTTACTTTAGCTCTTCATTTAACTTCTCTGTTTTAATTCATTTTTTTCTCTTACTTTCTCCAAATTTAACCTAATTTCCAAATAATTAATTGCTTCCAACTTTCACTTATCATCTGCGTACAAATCAATTCCCGCCCAAAAAAAAGTCAGAATACATTACACAACTAAAATAATTGACCCTATTTTCTTCCTATCAACCTGTCAAAAATGAGTTTTACTAAATTGTTAAAACTGATTCTATCAGCCTCTTTAAACATCTATCAAACCTTGATCTTTATCTTAATATGCACATTCAAGCTGTTTATCTGTACTGTAAACATTCTTTTTTTTCCACCAATAATGTAGGCCTAAACTTTTCTTTTTAAAAGTGTTTTTGATTAAATTTTTTTTTATATTTACATCCCGGAATATTTATAATTTCCTTTATATGGTGGATTGAATAACAAGAAAATATGTGTGTAATAATCTGTCTACAGTGCTAATACACATGTAGGTTTTGTTAATCAAAATTTTAACGCTCCAGTAACTTGCTTAAATCTTTACATAATGTAGGCTTTAACTAAGCCTGTACTGTATACTATAACCCCCACCCCCGGGATAACGTAACCCTAAAACAACCTTTGCCCCGCCCCTGGGAGAGCGTTCAATCTGTGTGTTTGCTGCCCCTATCAATATCTTGTTTAGTCGCCCCTTGAAGTATCTCAACAATCATCTCTACTTAAACAATTCTGTACCGCGTCGATCGTGGCTTACCACACTACTTAAACTATATAGACTTGTAGGCCTATATTTTATCAAACGAAAGCCTTTGGTCTAATCACCACGTTTTGTGTTTAGCCTTATATATCTGCGTTTAAACATACTGTCATTGTGTACCGTAATCGTTTAGATCTATTTTTAGTGTAACTTGCTTAGGTTGAAATGAGTCCTATCACCCATCCATTGTTTTCCCAATGACAAGCATCCAAGTTTATCAGACGTATGACATCACCCGCGCTGACCGCAATCATACACGGATCTTTAATCTTGTGATCTTGTGACCGCCTATATCTCGACATAATCTCGCGGGTCGGAGCGATTGTTTTAAGTTGGCGGTTAAGGGGGTGACCAGTACAAGCAAAAAACAAAAGTGGGAAAAACTGTTAGAAAAGCCACTGAGGAAATTATGTGACACAATAGGTCAGATACGCGTTATCTTACAGAGACGTGGGATAGGCGTTGGGTAGAGGGGGGGGGGGGGGGGGGGGTTGCAAGCAGGTCCCGTTCTTGAAGGGCCCCTCGCTTCATAAAAAACAAGTTGCAACAGAAACAATTGACGTTTGGATAACACTTGACATTCAGCAAATTATCGTTCTGTACCCGGATCGTTACGTTAAAACTGACATTGGACAAAAAAATGCAGTTGATCGGACCAAATTTACATCACGATAAAATTCGGTTTAAAAACAATTGTACTCGTATTCACAAAAGTCGTAATAGTTTACAAACCAAAGTCCTGCCCAATATCGCGACATGGATCCCACGTAACGTGTTTACGGCATCTGACCAATTGAGAGAGCCTACAGATACCTTGGTTCCGCGGGGTCCCGAGGGTATAGAGGGACCCAGATCCCGATGGTATAGAAGGACCCAGGTTCCGAGGGTATAGAAGGACCCAGGTTCCGAGGGTATAGAAGGACCCAGGTTCCGAGGGTATAGAAGGACCCAGGTTCCGAGGGTATAGAAGGACCCAGGTTCCGAGGGTATAGAGGGACCCAGGTTCCGAGGGTATAGAGGGACCCAGGTTCCGAGGGTATAGAAGGACCCAGGTTCCGAGGGTATAGAAGGACCCAGGTTCCGAGGGTATAGAAGGACCCAGGTTCCGAGGGTATAGAGGGACCCAGGTTCCGAGGGTATAGAGGGACCCAGGTCCCAAGGGTATAGTGGGACCGAGGGTATAGAGGGACCCATGTTCCGAGGGTATAGAAGGACCCAGGTTCCGAGGGTATAGAGGGACCCAGGTTCCGAGGGTATAGAGGGACCCAGGTTCCGAGGGTATAGAGGGACCCAGGTCCCAAGGGTATAGTGGGACCGAGGGTATAGAGGGACCCAGGTCCCAAGGGTATAGTGGGACCGAGGGTATAGAGGGACCCAGGTCCCAAGGGTATAGTGGGACCGAGGGTATAGAGGGACCCAGGTCCCAAGGGTATAGTGGGACCGAGGGTATAGAGGGACCCAGGTCCCAAGGGTATAGTGGGACCGAGGGTATAGAGGGACCCATGTTCCGAGGGTATAGAAGGACCCAGGTTCCGAGGGTATAGAGGGACCCAGGTTCCGAGGGTATAGAGGGACCCAGGTCCCAAGGGTATAGAGGGACCCAGGTCCCAAGGGTATAGTGGGACCGAGGGTATAGAGGGACCCAGGTCCCAAGGGTATAGTGGGACCGAGGGTATAGAGGGACCCAGGTCCCAAGGGTATAGTGGGACCGAGGGTATAGAGGGACCCATGTTCCGAGGGTATAGAAGGACCCAGGTTCCGAGGGTATAGAGGGACCCAGGTTCCGAGGGTATAGAGGGACCCAGGTTCCGAGGGTATAGAGGGACCGAGGGTATAGAGGGACCCAGGTCACGAGGCCTTTTGATGGCCATCACTATGTCGAGGTGCCTTTAATTTTGTTTCAAAATCTAGGTGGCTTTTTCTTTAATTACTGGTTTTATTCTTTAAGAGTGTATGCGGTTTTTTCCTTGAACCGATTACCTGTTTTAATGTCAACAACACTTGTTTTTCCTGCTATTTTTATCTCACTTATTGGTCCCGTCCATATAAAAACATCCTGTTCTTTGTTTCCCGGGTCGGAAGTTGTTTTTAGATTGTCCTTTCCGAGTGGGTTTTAAAAAAAACTCTTAGACTTTCATGTACTTGACTTGCTAGCAAGGTTGGGGAAAATTCCATTTCGACAGTTTAATGTTCCGTGTTCGAACATTTAGGGGCTGTATTCCGTTTTTGTGTGTGGTTGTAACCGGTGCCCTAAAGGTTTAAATGACTATGTTGAAAGTATGAACTGTTGAAAACCAACGAACAGCGACGGTAGACGGGTTTAATCATGCGATTATGTCACGGACAAATGTGACACTTATTGCCTAACACAGAGCTCCGGTAAATGTCATGTATAACACAGCACATACACATGTAACACAGGACACTTACATATGTAACATGTAACACAGGGCACTTACACATATAACACAGGGCACTTACATATGTAACACATGGCACATACATATGTCACATGTAACACAGGGC